ATGGACGACCTTTACCTTAAAAAAAAATCAATTTCAATATTACGGTTTGTGTATGGGTGGAGGAGATCTTGTCTGTTCTGGTACAAAAGATTATTGTACCAATGACTGATAATATTTGTGACGGAAATGTAACATTTAAAGATTATTGTGCAATTAGAATTGTTAACTTTAAATAATTCAATCAAATGCAAAATAATAATTTGAGAAATTTCAAAAAATGCAATTTTTCAAATATCATTTTACAAAAATACCACACTTTTAAAATTTTTACAAAAATACTATTTTTTCAAATTTATTTTGTTATTATTTATGTTTAGGTTAATTATTTTATATTAGGATTTAGTTTTAAATGTTTAGAGGATTTTAGGTGTCAAAACATTTTTTAAGATTTAGAATTTTAAGATATAAACTTTATAAATTTATTATTAGTGACATTTTTGTAAATAAATATTTCTAAGTGATATTTTTCACAAATATACACACAAAAATAACATTTTTATAATTGTCCCCCAAAGTTGCTTTGCCCGGCCGTATTAAAGCAAAAAAGAATCTTCAATTACGCATTTGTAGCTTTCATTATCACACGTTAGATAATATAATATTTACCCCTTTGAGTAAACTTTACATTATTCTCAACATTTTATTTTTTTTAATTACTAAATTATTCTCATACATTATAAGGGCAATTATAAAAATACCACATTTTGTATATATATTTACAAAAATACTATTTAGGAGTGTTTATTTACAAAAATGCTACTAATTATAGATTTATAAAGCCTATATCTTAAAATTATAAACCCTAAAAAATGTTTTCACATCTAAAACACCATAAACACTCAAAACTAAACCGTAATAGAACATAATTAACCCAAATATAAATAATATAAAGAAAAAATAATTTTGAAAAAATGGCATTGTTGTAAAGATTTTAAAAATGTGGCATTTTTGTAAAGTGGCACTTGAAAAGTGACATTTTTTGAAATTTCTTTATCATTCTAATTAAACCAATAAACTATCATTGGTTAAATTTGATTGATACACCACGATTTGTTACAACTATTATGTATGTGTAGTAAATAAGCAGTTGTAAATCTTTTGTTTTTCAGGTAGTTAACTGTTCTTTTTCACCTCTAACAAATTTATCTTAATCAATATGTTAGTCATCTGTGCAACAATTTATATTTTTAAGGGATAATTACAAAAATGTCACTTTTTAAAAATGGTATTTAGGGGTGTCCATTTGCAAAAAATGCCACT